CTGTTGTGCAGCCCAGACCTATCTGCCCTGGAGAACCCCAACCCGCCCCGACACCTGGACACTGGCAGAATAGACCAGAGACAGCAGAAGGAACAAACACTCGATGCCAAGCCCAGGTCCTGGTGGACGTCAGCAGACAAACTGGCTGGGAGAAGGGCAGGACTGGAGTGAGGAGAGGCCAGGGAAGCTCCAAGGCAGGACAGCCACATCTCCGTGTATCTCCTCGCCAATAAACTTTCTTGTCTGAAGCTCAGACTCCGCTTGTGTATGGGGGCGGGGGCGGGGGGAGGTGTCAAATCCTCACCACAGGTGAAGCCATGCGCAAACTTGTGAGGGTCCCTTGCCCTCTTCGAGCCCGTCAGATAAAGAAGTTGGAATAGTGAGCCCCTTTCCAGCTGTGACATCTGGTTGGAAAAACGGCCACCAGGTCTGATGTCCTAGACCTGAGTTCTGGCTGCCCACAGGCGCCACCTACGCCACAACGTCGAGCGCGACCCCTAAATGGAAAAAACGCGGCGCCACGGGGGTGGGGGTGGGGCGTAGGTCGGTGAGCGCCGTTGCTATGGCGACAAGTGGGGGAGAAAGGTGGCCGGCTGTCTAGTAAGGCGCGGAGGTCCCGACACTGAGGCTCTGCCTACTGGGAAACCCGGCCTCCCTGAGACCCTTTTTTATTTGTCGAGAAACAGGTCATTTGACTGCATAGTCCAAAGGGAGGGCAAAGGGGATGCCTCTCTATCCCCTGGAAAAAGCAACCATATTTTCCCAGCGACCCATGCGTCATTAGGAGCAAGACTCCAATTCCTCGCTTTTTCCGAGGAGGGCGCCAGTAGGGAGGAAGGGAAGGAGGAACTGACCTGATTGGCCAGGGACAAAAAAGACGAGGGCAGTTCACCCATCTAAGAAATGAAGTACAAGACCGCTTTGCAACTTCGCGGGTTGGGCGTCTCTGCTAGTCTCGGTGGGGGAATGGTCCCTGGATAGAAGCTCTCGCGAGATCTTCACCATCGGCCGGGCTTCCCTAGATACCAATGAAAGCTGGCCTCCGCGCCCTTCCTCCCGATCTTCCCACCTCTACCAAGTTGTAATACACATTCGAAATGTTGCGTTCAGGCCCGGGGTTCTTGGAGGCTTCGGTCCTTAGGAGCACACACGCCCATAGGCCTGAATGGAGGCCTTTGGGGGCTTTTGGAAGATCGCCCCTGCTGGTTTCCGTGTTTCCCGTCCTTACCAGTCGGCCTCCAAGCCGGCCTGCAGTGACCTTTGTAAAATTACATCTGTTTGTGTCACTACCTATTAAAAACCCTGCCGTAGCTCCATATGTCTCCTCTGGAAAACGTAGCTCCTTGGCATTCAGGTTGGCATCCAAGGTCTTACATTTGTGTGGTTTCAGCCCTGTGCTTCTTAAATACTGCTTCGTTTACTTGGAATGTTCGTTCCTCTCCCCCCGCCCCCCCACTTGTTACCTCTCCGAGTCAGAACACTTAAAGCATTACTTTCTCCCAGATGCCTTCCCTGAACCTCCAGCCTGAGTTAAAATCTACTTCTTCTGAACACTTGAAACATGGAGAACTTCTTGAGGATGATTAGTCACTCAACAGCATTACGAATTGTGTGCTGGGTATGGGGGATAGGAGGATGAATAAAACAAAGTCTCTGCCCTCAGTTTCTATGCAGAAGACAGACGCTGGACAAATAATTACAAGTGTAGGAAGGACTATGCAGGAAGCATACCTACAGAAGAGAATCCTACCTGATTCAAAGGCCTCTCCAAAGAAATGGCAACTATGTTTAGACCTAAGGACTGAGTAAGCTAAGAAAGGAGGAGTGAGGGATGGTGTAGGAGCTGGAGTCTTCTAGGCAGAGAGAAGAGAATGCTCCCAAGTCCTTGGGCATCAAGAACTGAAGTAAAGTTCTAGTGAGTCTGAAGGCAAACAGTGAAATGCAGAGTAATAAGTTGTATGATAAAGACTTTTCCAGATTCAGTTTTCTACCTCCCAGTCCCAGCAGGAGCCTGGCACACAATAGGCCTCACTAAATACTTTGGTGAGCAGTGTGTCCTTGGAACATGATGTGCTCTTCACAAGAGTTTACAGTCCCACAAGCTGCTACCTCCTTGTCAATATGGCAAGCTCCCACTCATCTTTGAAGGTCCTTCACATTTATCTCCTCAGAGAGGCCTGCACCCGATAACCACTCCCTTCCCAGGGGGTTATTGTTATTCACTCATCTTAACTATCCTGCCAGAACACTTATACACCTACTGCTTTCCCATTCATACATATATATTTATGTTTATTTGTATATATTTATATACATATTTATTTTTTTATCACAATCTTTTTTGCTAGACTATGAGATTCTCAAGAACAGAAACTAGATCTGAGTTCAGGTATATACTTGTACATGTTTGTAGAGCAAATGGACAGAAGTCCTTTTCCTCCTTTTGCAAACATCTATTCCAAAGCCCTCCCACAGCAGTAGACCCTTTCCATGGTAACTTTTCACTGTTCCCAGCTGAGTCTCCTCACTGACTGAATCAAGGCAAGCAGGTCTTACCTTTTGCTAGAAGTGGGGTTCCAGCCATAACCTGGCCCCTCCCCCACCTCTCCTCCATCTCTCATGTTACATTTCCCCTTGCTAACTCACTTGGCTCCAGCCACACAAACCTTCTTTCTATTCCTTAAATATGTCAAGCTTATTCTCACCTTAGGCCTTTGCAGTTCTGTCTAGAACACTTTTCCTCCAGATTTTCAAATGGCTAATCCTTTCTCATCATTCAAGATTCATCTCAAGTATTTCCTGAGATGCCTTCCCTATCCACATGATAGAATCCCCCAAGGGGCACCCGAGTGGCTCAGTTGTTTAAGCATCCAACTCTTGATTTTGGTTCAGATCATGATCTCAGGGTCATGTATAAGGAAGGATCTGGGCTCCATGCTCAGCAGGGAGTCTGCTTGAGATTCTCTCTCTCCCTTTCCCTCAGCCCCTCCTTCCCCTCTCTTGCTCCCTCTCATAAATGAATGAATAAATAAATAAATAAATAAGCCCCGAACCATACCCACTCTATTGCATCATCTTGCCCTATTAATTTCATTAACTACATTTATCTTGTTGATTTACATGTTTACATTTTTTACACTCTTAAAAGTGCCGTAGCAGCCAAGATTTTTGTCTGTTTTGTTCACTACTGCATCTCCAATACCTAGAATGGTGCCTGGCACATAGTAGAGTACACACAAGTGGAGATTGAGTGTGAGTATTCAGGCATTTGCCCCCTTTTCCTTGCTCTGAGGAAGAGCAAAAGTTTAACCAGATGTAATCCCAACATCCAAATTACGCCCTGGCCTCTGAAAACTGAGACTCGGGTTTGAGTACTGGCTCTGCCGCCAATTTCCTCATGTAATTTCATTTCTGAAAGATAATTCGGTGCAATAGAAAGAGCATGAGCTTTGGAACCTGTTACTTACCAGCTTTGTGACTTTGAGCAAATTACTTAAGTTCTCTAAGCTTTGGTTCATTTGTCAGAGGGAGACAATATAATTGTTCCCCACAGCGCTGTTATAAAGAGACATAGGGGTCACAAGCACTTGCTGAATGTTATTTCTATTTCCTTTCTGAATCTTAGGTGCCCCATTCATAAAATAGGAGAATTGGGTATCTTTTTCTTTCTAAGATATATTTTTTAAGCTTTTATTTATTTATTTGACAGAGAGAGAGACACAGCGAGAGAGGGAACACAAGCAGGGGGGTGTGGGAGAGGGAGAAGCAGGCTTCCTGCTGAGCAGGGAACCCGATGGGGGGGCTCAATCCCAGGACCCTAAGATCATGACCCGAGCAGAAGGCAGACGCTTAATGACTGAGCCACCCAGGTGCCCTTGGGTATCTTTTTCAAGAGAAGTGGGAAATACAGATCCTTTTACAAAATATCCCAATTTTTAAATGTGGGAAATTAAAATGTGTAAAAGACCTCTATTTTTTAAAACTAATTTTTAAAAGTAAAAATACCGGGGGCACCTGGGTGGCTCAGTCGTTAAGCGTCTGCCTTCGGCTCAGGTCATGATCCCAGGGTCCTGGGATCGAGCCCCCGCATCGGGCTCCCGGCTCAATGGGAAGCCTGCTGCTCCCTCTCCCACTCCGCCTGCTTGTGTTCCCTCTCTTGCTGTGTCTCTCTCTGTCAAAGAAATAAATAAAATCTTAAAAAAAAAAAAAAGTAAAAATACCCTGAGGGCCAAACAAGATACTTCTGTGGACTGGATTTGAGCTACTGGATTTGGGCTACTAATTTTCCACTTAGGCTATTGGTTGTCAGGGATGCTATGACAGCCCTTACTGTATAACATAGGCAAATCAGTTTTATCTCCCTCAAGTTCAACTAGCTCATCCGTAAAATGGACCCATCCTTGTGCGGATCAAAGATCAGGTGTGTAAAACGCTTAGCATAATGCTGGCGCATTGTAGGCACACCACACAGGAAGTGGCAGCGGTAGCTTGGGTGGCTGTTGATTTGGGAAGTACGTATTCAAAAGGGGCAAGACATCCCAGAGACTGGGAAGGCGACGCCTGGAAAGGAGAAAAAATGGGAGAGGAAAGAAAGAGGGAAGGGAAGAGGTGAGCAGGCAACAGGGTCCGCCCTCCAGGCGGGGCGCCAGCGAGAGGCCCAGGCCGGGGCGGGAGCGCACGTGGCCTATTTTGGGCGGAGCGGACGCGCCTGGTCGCAGCGGAGACCTCCGAGGCGGCCACAGGAGACGAGCCTTGAAGGTAGGTTACAGCTGGTCTGCGAGGACCTTGGACGCCGGGATGGGGCGGCCCGGGGGTCCCTGGGAGTTGGGGTACAGCCGAAGGCACCAGATCTGGGCTCGCACCCTCCCGGGGCAGTTCTGGCCGGACGCCTGGGTCCTCTGGGCCCCTCCCCCTCTGGGGCGGGGTTAGGCGATCTGACCAATGAGCGGCCGTTCGCGAGGCCCCGCCCCGCCCCGCCCCCGGAGTCGCGGCCTCGCAGAGTGCCCAACCGCCCGGCGCCCTGGCCAGGGGCTGTGCGAGCGCCGAAGCTGCGGCTGGTGAGTGCGCAGCCCCCCAGGGTCTCCGCCTCGATCCCGCCCCCAGCCCGTGCCCTAGAGCTCTGGACCGCTGGCCCGGGCGCCGGGGAGTGACTCAGCGCGAGGAGGGTGGCTTGCTGGGACTGGAGATTCGAACTGTTCAGGGCCTTGAATGCCGGGATGAGTGCGGAGAACGGGTGTCTTCGGAGCTGGTCCTGGGACCTGGGGCCGGGCTGGGGTGGAGGGAAGAGGGCAGTGCAGGGCGGGAGAAGCCAAGGCTCCTCCGCCTTGCTGGAGTCAGGGCCATGGGGCGGGGAGGAGGGGGGTGGAGGGGGGTGCGAGTCCGGAGCTTTTGACCCAGCGCCTCGCCCTAGGACCAAGATGCCCGGTGAACAGCAGACAGAGGAGGAGGAAGAGGAAGAGATGCAAGAGGAGATGGTGCTGCTGGTGAAGGGTGAGGAAGATGAGGGTGAGGAGAAGTATGAGGTGGTGAAACTCAAGATCCCCATGGACAACAAGGAGGTACGTGTCCCACACCAGGGGGCTTGGTTACCCTTAAATCTGGTCAGGTCCAGCCTTCCTCAGACAAACCAGCGATCCGGCCCCTACTTTCCTCTGAGTCTTAGACGTAGAATCTCAGGGTTGGTGGCCCATCCTTCTGCCCTACTGCCATCGTACAGATGTTAACCTACGGCGCCAGCTATCTTTGGTTCCCCATGGAGCTTGATGTCTAGCGGGATTGGACTGACAAGTAACCACGCAGCTACAGTCCCGTGTGATGGGTGCAGGCACAGGAGGCGTGGAAGCCCAGAGCTGGGAACTGCACGCTTCGGGGTGGGGGGAGGGGTGGTTAGGTAGGCAACAGCGACAGCTGACTCTGAGTAGCATTTGCTATGCACCAGACACTGTTCTAAGTCCTGCAAATCTGGAACGGAGGTAGTATTTCTTCCATTTTACAGGTGAGGAAACAGGCCCAGGAAACTGGACAGTTTGGTGACTGACCCAAGGCCTTAAAGTTAGTTAAGGGATGACTTAGCTGAGACCAGTGGGGATCTGAAATTTAGAAGGAACGGCCCGATTCATTGCTCAGGCAGGTGGGTGGGGCACTGGGAGAAGTGAAGGCAGGTGGTTCAGCCATGCTATAGCGTGAAAGAGAGTAAGGTGGTTGGCAGGCTGGGTGGGACCTCTCCTCTGGGTTTTATCCTGAGGGTTTTGAAGGTTTAAAGAGAGGACTTTTAAGGAGATCTGAATAGGAGTTAGATTTCCCTATGGGAGATCCTAAGTGCCACCAGGTATGTTTCCACTTCCCAGAACCTTTTAGGACTCCTACCCCCAGCCAGAGGAGCCCTGAGTCCTATCTGGAGGACTTCTGTTGGGCGGGGTTTCTGGGCCCAGGCTCCCTCTGATTTCTTCCTGCAAGGGGCCAGTTCTCTGGGAAAGACAGTTCTGCTGCCCCCTAGTGGGTGTGTTGGGCCCTAGGGGGAGGGGGCCGGCTGCTTTGGCAACCGGTTCTAGTCAAAATAACTGTTTAGTTCCGTTTTCCTCAGGCCTCCTTGGTCTGTCATCCTAGCACAGCCTGCCTCTTCTGGCTCTGTGGATCCCCAGATCTCCACCTTTGGCCTATAAGTTAAGAACCCAGACTCCAGGGGCGCGTGGCTGGCTCAGTCGGTAGAGCATGCGACTCTTGATCTTGTGGTTGTGGGTTTGAGCCCCAGAGTACTTAAAAAAATAAAATCTTAAAAGAAAAAAAAACCCAGACTCCAGAGCTTAGGTGGACTTCCAACTCTATCACCTTCCAGCTGTATGACCTTGGGTAAGTTTCTTAACCTCTTTGTGGCTCAGTTTCCTCTTTGTAAAAGGGAAATCATAACAGCATCTACTTCTTAAGGTTGTGAGGACTAAATGAGTTAGTACTGAAAAGAGTTAGAACTGTGTCTGGTGCATAATAAACACTATGTAAATATTTGCTGCTGATAGTCATTCTTCTCCCTGCGGTTCAGGACCTTGCACTAGGACATCCTTCTGGAGATTTTTCAACTCCTTTTTATCAAAGAACTTTCTGGCCTGAACCCCGGGGCTGGGAGTGAACAGGGAAACCAACCTGGAGGCCTAGACAGAGGACTGAGGGCAGACAACTCAAGGCAATGGGGAAGGCTTCATGGAGGTGACTTTCGACTTGGTGCTTGAAGACGCAGTGGTGATCTGGCAAATGGAGGAGAAAGGGCATCCCAGGAGGAGGAATAGCAAATGCAGAGGCTCAGAGGAGATGAGGCCAGAGAAGTCGGGGTAGCCAGTGAGTAAAATGGCACTGGAAGCCAGCATAGGAATTTAGAGCCTCAAATTGGAGGAGGGACATGACTAGATTTTCTATTTAGAAGAATCACTGGCTGCTATGGGGAGACCAGGCCAGGGAAGGCTGATAGCCTGCTCTAAGGTTGTGACAGCAGTGGCGAAAAGATGGAGAGAAGGGGATATTTGGGAACCCCGATTGGACTGGCTGGAGGTAAGGATGAGGAGGTGGAGAGTGGGCATGTCTAGTCATCAAAGGTATGTAGGGCTAGACTCTAAATGGTATCATGTAGCAGTGAAAAGCATTGGTTCAAATCCTAATTCTACCATTTACCAGCTCGGCCTCGGCTTTTTCATCGGTAGAGAGGGGTAATGAAAGTTAAGGTCCTCGAATGCCAGCCTGAGAAGTATCATCTGGGTTACTGGGTCTGGGGGAGGAGGTTGGAATTGAGGATTGCACACAGACACCCTATGAACGTTTAGCACTGTGCCCACAGCATAGCTCATTAATTTGCTGTGTGGTCTCCCTGAGACTCAGTTTCTAAAAATGGTGATCTTGAAAGCTCTTTCCAATGCTGACATTCTGTGACTCCTTGCTATCACCCAGTCCCGTGGCCAGTCGTTGCCCAGAATAGGCCTGAATTATGCGCATTCGGGCTGGAGTATCCTCTCACTGCCTGTCAAAATCTAGTCTATCTTTAATGAGTAGAAAAGATTTTCTCAGAGGGCTCTATACATATCCAATTCTGTCTCTCTTTGCTTAAACCCTTGAGTGGTTTCCTGTTTCCTTCAGGATAAAGTCTCAGCTCCTAAGCCTAGCATTCAGAGCTACTCACCATCTGACCTCACATCTTGGCTTATCTCTAATCACTCAGTACCCATCCCATGCCCTGACTTCAAACACACCCAACCCTTTCTCATCTCTAAGACTTTGCCCGTGTGGTCTTTCAGCCTGTAAAACCCTCTTCACCTTTTCCACCTGCTTTCTCCAGGAGTAGCTCTTATCTCTTCTAGATCAGGTTTCTTCACTTTAACATGCATACAAATCACCTGGTGATCTTGTTAAAAGAAGATTTTGATTCTGCAGGTCTGGGGTCGGCCTTGAGATTCTGCATTTCTAGCAAGTTCCTAGTGATGCTGTTGTTGCTGATCTGTGGACCACAATTCCTGTAGCTAGGAGCAAGAGAATAGGGTTGTTATTTTATACTTTGTACCAAAAAGGGGAGATTCTGACTGCTAAAAGAGCCTAGGGGAGGGAGACAAGCCATGTAGGTGATCTCCCAACTTGTCAATGACAGAGAATTGCATCATGGCTAAGAGAATGCGTACTTCGGACAAGGACAGACTCTCAGTTCCAACCCCGGCTCTGCCATTGATGAGCTGTAGGGCCTTGGGTAATCACTTTACTGCTGGTCTTATTTCCTTGTTCAAAAATGGAGCAGATAGTACCTAAAAGAAAGGGTTGTGAGAGTTTAAAACGAGAACATGGGTGAAAAGCACTTAGCACAGTTCCCGGCACATAGTGAATCCTCAATGAATGGTAGCTGTTGTTCTTAATTTAGGAAAGTAATGGCAAGGGGGAACAGACATGTTTGCCCTGATTTAAAACAAAAACAAAAACCTAAACAGGAAGACAAAATCACAAACTTCAAATACTTGGATTTTCCTATTATGATATCACATTGATTGTATACTCATAGTACCTCTTGTTATAGTACAAATACCGTTCTAATATTTAAGTCTACTAGCTGTAGATTTAAGACGTGGAAGGGCCTTTAATGATCTCCTAGCCTGGTATTTGCCAAGCTTCAGTGACATGTATATTGCCCATCTGTTGTGCTCATTTATTTACTGCTTTTCTTCAGATAGATTCACATCATTTTGCTAAATAAACCTGCCTTCATCTACACAATATTGATGGAATTGTGGGTTTCATGTGATCTATTGTTTTTCTAATGTCCGTAAAAATAAATACATAATGATTATAATAAGATAGTTTTCCTACATAACACCTACAGTCCTCTTGCATCTTGTGGTGTGCATGCTTCAGGTTGGGAAATTTTGATCTCACCTAGCCTACCTTGCCTTCCTTGGGACACTGAGGCAGGAGAAGGGAGTGACTTGCCTGGGGTCTTAATGAACTAGACCCTGGCTCAGTTGGTAGAACATGCGACTCTTGATCTCATGTATTTGAGGGTCACGTGTTTGAGTCTCACGTTGAGATTACTAAAAATATATATATATATATATATTCTTCCTGGGGCATCCAAGGCCCCTTGTCCTGAAGCTGGAGATACTAAGGCTACTCATGTGAAGGATTCCTTTCTCATAAGTCAGTGAACCCAGCATGAGGAAGCCCTCAGGCTTGTCAAAGTCATCTTACAGAAGGGTGCCAAAGAAAAATGGGCCAGAAAAATGTAAACATAATGAGAAAAATTCTCTCCACAATGGCTGACGTGTTGAAATAAAGCCAATAGATGTCAAAACCAGGGCAAGATTGGAAAGTATTACCTTGAATTCAGACTGTGCCAAACCTGCTGTGGGGAGTTTCTTGATTTAAAGTATCAAGTTGTATTTTAACCTTGAATCCCCCTTGGAGAGCACCAGGGACTTGGAGTCCAGCCTCTGTCACATCTTGGCTATTCTAGTGTGGGGAAGTAAGTGTAGCCTACTGGGAAAGGGTGAGTGCTCAGTCCCGACTCCCCCTGGCTTTGTGAATGTAATCTCAATGAGCCTCTGTTTTCCCAACTATCAAAAGATAACACCCTGATTCAAGGGGGTGTTAATACGATAATGTACATAAAATAGCATTGTCAAAGCCTTACACTGTAATGTTATCACCGTTATCACTATAAATGACTGTTTAAACCAGAGTTCCCATGGCTGGTCACTAATTTCCCAAACTGCCTTGTTTTCCAGTTTGAGTTGGTTACCAAAACGCTGCCTTTTTATAAAGGATCTTGAAGGACTTGAAGTTGCCCTCCTTGCAACTTCAGAAATAAAAGAGCCTTACTATTCCTTGTCACTCCCCTCTCTTAACAGTTTCCTTATCTATAAAATGAGAATAGTAATAACTACTTTGTGGAGATTGAATGTGGGGAGAAGCTAACACTTTCTTGTCCTTAATATGTGCCAGTTATTTCATTTGGTCTTGAATTAATATGCCTGTCTGGTTCACGGTAGGTGTTCAATACATCACTTTTGCTAGGATGAGCATTCTCTTTTCTAAGAAGAGAGCAACGTGCCCCCAGTATTCCTCTTCACTCTGCTGTTAGTACAAAATGTTTTCTCTTCTCCTCTCTCTTACAAAGCATTTTTCTTTTTTGGATTTTATCTCTAGAGGCTCAAACCTCATGAAACCAGCTCATTTTCAAAATTTTCCATTTCAGGCCTTGCTTTCTTCACAACTTAAAAAATGATAGGTGCTTGCTCTGAAAAGTTTATTAAAGACTCTGGACTTGGTCCCGGCCTGGCTTCTAAGACACCATGCCCTCCTGGATCTCCTGCCTCATTAACTGCTCCTGCTCAGTCTTCTTTGCTGGCTGCCCATCTTGTTGCCTCAGGTTCTCTCTGCCCATTCCTGGGGTGATCTCATCCGGACTCAGCTTTAAAAAATATTGATAGGCTGACAGCTTCCCAATTAACATCTCCAAGCATAGGCCTCTTTCAGCTCCAGATGTGTCCAGGAGAACTGCAAATATGCTCCAAAACAAATTTCACCTACCACCTTGCTTCTCCCACTGCCCTCATCTCTGCAGATGGCCACTCCACCTTTGCAGTGGGCAAACTCAAAATCCTTGGAGTCATTTTGACTCCTTTCATTACACTACGTATCCAATCTATTATCCAGTCTGTTGTCTCAAACTGCAAAATATATCCAGAAGCAGACCACCTTCACTTTCCACCTGTCACCTGCGTCTGAGCCACTTCTCTTCGCCCTCTCCCCTCCTTTCTGTTCTCAACTCCAGCAACCCGAGGGTGACTTTTAAAACGAGTCTGATCTGTTCAGATCCCTGCTCCAAACCCAGCTGACATCTCTATTGGCTCCCCATCTCGTTCATATTACTTGGCCCTAAGCTAGGAGATCCCCTCCAAGACCACCCCATCCATCACCCTGTCCCTCAAGCATTCTGCCTTAGGCACTTTTTCATGCCATTCCTGGAACTCAACAGGCAAACTCCCCGCAGGGCCTTGCTGGTCCGTCTGTAGCCTGCTCTCTCACCTCCTTTAAGTCTTTGCTCACGTTATATCAGTAAGGTTTCTTAGCAATCCTATTTAAATGTGCAGCACGCCACTCCCTGCCCCAATACCAGCACTCTTTATCCATTTTTCCTGAAGCAGTTTTTTTTTTAATTTAATGTTTAATCCCCAGTGCCTAAGCAGAGTCCGGCACATTGTACGCGCTCAATAAATATGTGGAATTAACGAATTGCTAGAATGACGCTAGGCCTTGTGATACATGCGTTAACATACTATCTCATTTAAAGCGCACAACCGCCCCGAGGCTGGCACCGCCGCTTTTTCTATTTCACAACGGGGAACTGAGAGGCTGCAGCTTGCGGACACCCCGGCTTCCGGCTCCCGCGCCCGGCTGTCAGGGCTGACGTGTCCCCCCTCCCCCTCTCCCCGCAGGTCCCGAGCGAGGCGCCAGCGCCGTCGGCCGACCCGGCGCGCCCACACGCGTGCCCGGACTGCGGCCGCGCGTTCGCGCGCCGCTCCACGCTGGCCAAGCACGCACGCACGCACACGGGCGAGCGGCCCTTCGCGTGCACCGAGTGCGGCCGGCGCTTCTCGCAGAAGTCGGCGCTGACCAAACACGGCCGCACGCACACGGGCGAGCGGCCCTTCGCGTGCACCGAGTGCGGCCGGCGCTTCTCGCAGAAGTCGGCGCTGACCAAACACGGCCGCACGCACACGGGCGAGCGGCCCTACGAGTGCCCCGAGTGCGACAAGCGCTTCTCGGCCGCCTCGAACCTGCGGCAGCACCGGCGGCGCCACACGGGCGAGAAGCCGTACGCATGCGCTCACTGCGGCCGCCGCTTCGCGCAGAGCTCCAACTACGCCCAGCACCTGCGCGTGCACACGGGCGAGAAGCCGTACGCATGCGCTCACTGCGGCCGCCGCTTCGCGCAGAGCTCCAACTACGCCCAGCACCTGCGCGTGCACACGGGCGAGAAGCCGTACGCGTGCCCGGACTGCGGACGCGCCTTCGGCGGCAGCTCGTGCCTGGCGCGCCACCGACGCACGCACACGGGCGAGAGGCCGTACGCATGCGCCGACTGCGGCACGCGTTTCGCGCAGAGCTCGGCGCTGGCCAAGCACCGGCGCGTACACACGGGCGAGAAGCCGCACCGCTGCGCCGTGTGCGGCCGCCGCTTCGGCCACCGCTCCAACCTGGCGGAGCATGCGCGCACGCACACGGGCGAGCGGCCCTACCCGTGCGCGGAGTGCGGCCGGCGCTTCCGTCTCAGTTCGCACTTCATCCGCCACCGTCGCGCGCACATGAGGCGCCGGCTCTATATCTGCGCCGGCTGCGGCCGGGACTTCAAGCTACCGCCTGGCGCCACGGCCGCCACTGCCACCGAGCGCTGCCCAGAGTGCGAGGGCAGCTGAGCCACCGTTCTTGTCGCCGCGGGGTTGCGAGCGTCCGGCTTGTGGGAGGAGTGGGGGCGGACACGCTGGGACCCTAGACCTGGGGCCGCATTAACCAGGACCTCCCTGGCTCACCACCAGGGGCTGGGAAAGGGTGGGATGGCAGGCCTGGCTGCCTTGGAACTGGGAGGCAGGGAGAATCCCCTTACTGGGAACCCTGGAAACAGTGCCCACTCCCCGCTCACTACAACCCCTTGACCCGTGTTAGTGAATAAAGTATTATATCCTCGCCCCACCTGTGCCTGTGAGTGAGGCGGGGGGAAGGAGGAAAGTTGGTGTCTTATCCAGGCTTAAGTGACTTGAATGAGTTATGGAGCCAAGTGGGGCAATTGGCCCAAAGGGGTTCCCTGAACTGGCTTTTTATGTGTGGGGGGAGTCCTCATAACTTCAGGTCTGGAAGGGTCCACAAATAGAGCATATTCTGGTCAAGCAGCCGCTGCATTGTTCGGCGAGCAGGCACGAATTTCCTTCTAGGAGAGATGGGCTGACTTAATTTCTTAACTTGGATGCCAGCGTTCGGTGTCAGGAGGGCACAGGATGAGGAGCAGGACAGGAATTGAAGTGGTGGCAATTGTTACACCCCAATCTGGGCACGTTGAGTGTGAGGTAAACGCAGAGGAGTCAGGTGACTGGAAATAACAGCTTGGGGATAGCAGGTCTGGAGTGCATGATACCTCTTCTAGAAGAGGGTACCCAAGGAAAGTCTGTGAAAGGACAGCCAGAGCTGGAAAGAAAACAGAAGCGTCCTGTCTGGGAAATCTAAAGGAAAGTGTTTCATGGAGGGAGTGGTCACTCTGTTAGATGCTGTATCTGTAGCTCAGCGAAAGTGGTGAGAGGAGGAGTGGGGGGTGAAAGCCATCCTTGAGTGGGTGAGAGTATAAATAGGAGAATGAGGAAGCCGAGTGGATGGGTGTAGACAACCCATTTTAAGAGGCTTGGCTGTGAAAAGCAAGAGGGAAATGGCTGGAGGTTTGTTGGGTTTGTTTGGTCAGTAGGGAAGAAACCTGATGATGCTTTATATATGCTGGTGGCAGAGCTGACAGAAAGGAAGAGAAGTTGGTTATATAGAAGAGAGGGGAGGTAACTCATCATGGAGAGGACATACGATAAGAGACCAGTAAGGATAAGGTTCCTGCTGTCACTAGTAGGGAGAGGAAAGGTGGGTTTGGGAATACAAAGCTGAAGCAGTTCTAATCCGCATTTTGTTTTACCTGGCAAGTAAGAGGTCACTGGTTAAAAGGGAGTGAGGTCATTAGTAAAAGGAATGAGACCAGTAAAGAGGAATGCCTCTTTAGGCTCAGAGGGGCGGCAAAAGTAGTTTGGAGGGTTTTTTCCAGCATTACTGCACACTGAGGGAGGTAGGCCATGGGTATCCCTGAAAGGGAAGTGATGTGCCTGAGGTCCCACAAGGGGTAAATCATACGCACCCAACACTAGAGGTGCAAGTGGAAATTGGCCTTGGGAGGTTAGGGGAGGAGGTAAGAGGCCCTCTCCAAGATGAGAGGAGTCTCTCTGTTCTCCATTATCAGACACTTGACCCTAATTTGTGATGAGGGCCCAGGGAGAGGAGCATTAGGCTCTCACAGGGCTGGGGTCCTGATCGACAAAGGTGGGTTTTAGGCCCAGGACCCTCTTAACTGTTGACATTCCCTGCTCTGGGCCCCTGAAAGTTTTGAGTTGAAAAAGCAAACAGATAACTGCAAACTTAGAAAGTCCCTCCTATATGCCAGGCACTGTCCTAAGCACTCTCCTTAAAAACGACTTAAACCTTACAACCCTATAAGGTAGATACCATTATTTTAATTTTAGATGAGGAAACCCAGGTGCAGAAAGATTAAGTAATTTGATGAACGTCATCCAGCTCGTAATTATCAAAGATGGCATTTGAACCCAGAGAGCCTGGCTCCAGAATCTGGGCCCTTAACCAACACTACAGTATAGCCTCCAGTCCCCTTTAGAGGCCCAGAAGGGCTAAGGGAATTGCATGACATCAAACAGGGATCTTGCTAGAAATCCACTCTGTCTGCCCTGCAGGTGGGAGGTATACTAGAGAAACATGGCAGCTGGGCTCAGAGGCATCCCTGGTGCCCTGCTCCAGTACCTGCTAAGATAGAGCCTCCCCAGTCACTCCAGGAAGAATCTAGAAGTTGCTAGCCAAAACTTTTATTGAGAGTGAAAAATAACAGGAGGCTGTCTTCTGGAGGTTCTTGGGCTGCAGACCTTATGAAGTAGGGCCCCCAGGCCCCTGATCTGTTAGGAAAAGACTAGAACAAAGTTCCATGGCCAGGCCACTCTCTGCTTCTCAGATGCCATGCTGAGTTGCAAGTCCTGTGCCCATGTTTCTAGGTTGAGGCCTGGCCTGTGGACTCACAGTCAAGGTCTGCAGGCCCCACAGCTTGGTCTTCAGAGGTGGCCCCATGGGGCAAGTCTGTATACTTGAGGGCAGAGCCACGGGACAGATGTGCTGGGTAGCGCCGGCGGTTGAGGTCCATCTTGGAGAGCACCGCTTGGGGCAGATCCACATGGCAGCGGGCTGCTAACGCTACCAGGTAGATGAGGACGTCACTAAGCTCCTCTTGAAGGGCTGCCCGTTCCCTGGGGGACCAGGCTTGGGGGCCAGGCTCCTCATCAGGCTTCCACTGACTGGGGGCAGAACACACAGACACAAACACAGATGCTAGCTAATACGATGGGCTCCGCCTCTCTTAGGAGCCCCCCAGTCCTTGCAACAACGCACTTCCAGCTCTTAGGAAGTTCCTTCAAGGACAACTCAACCCGCCTGGGCCCCAGGCAGAGTCAGGGTGGGGAAGAGACCCCAGCAGATGATTCATCCGGACCTCTGTGTCCCAACCTGAGCCAAGGACTGGCCAAGAGAACATTTCACTCATTAAGACCCAATTCCACTTCTCACCAGCCCCAGCCACTGCGACTCCAGACTAATCCCCAGACCTGGACCACTGGAAAAGCTTGCTAACTCACCTTCTACTCTTGCCCAGTACCATCTTTTAAACCCACAAATTACATCTTGTCCCTCCGCTGCTAAAAGTCCCCCAACTGTACTTGGAATAAAATCCAAACTCCTGGATTTTGGGCGCCTGGGTGGCTCAGTCGTTAAGCATCTGCCTTCGGCTTGGGTCATGATCCTAGGGTCCTGGGATCGAGCCCCGCATCCGGCTCCCTGCTCCGCGGGAAGCCTGCTTCTCCCTCTCCCACTCCCCCTGCTTGTGTTCCCTCTCTCGCTGTGTCTCTCTCTGTCAAATAAATAAAAAATCTTTTAAAAAAAATAAAATAAAATTAGTTTATTGTTATTCTCCTTGTACTGTGAAGGCAAGAACCGTGTTTTTTTTTTCCCCCCAAAGATTATTTTTAAGTCATCTCTACACCCAATGAGGGGCTCGAACTCACAACCCTGGGATCAAGAGTTGCATGCTCCACTGACTGGGCCAGCCAGGAGCCCCAGGAACCTAACTTGTTCATTCTAGGAGCCCTAGCACATAGCTGATGCTCCTATATCTGTAATGAATGAATGGCTTGCCCTCACACTTACCTCTGTGCTCTCATTTCTCCATCCCCAAAGTGACTGCCCTGGTTTAGGCCTGCCTGGTACCACCTCTTGCCTGATCTGTATCAGCCTCCTCATAGGTCTCCCCTGCCCCAATTCTCTTGGTAACCCAATCCACCCTGCAGAAAGGGATCTTTCCACCACTCTAATCTGGCCAAACTCCATCACTTCCTAACTCCAGCTCTGTCACTCTGGGTTCATATTGCCACCCTTCTATTCCACAGCCCCATCACTCACTCTGTAGATATCACTGCCTTTGGTGCACCAGGCACGTGGGACACGGCAGACAACAAAACAGATACAAAATCCTTGCTCTCCCTCGAAAAGCTTACCCTGAAGGAGTCTCAGGATCTCCCTGAATTTAACTTGCCCTTTCCCACTTCACTACCTTTGCAAATGATTCTCAAGGCTGGAATGCCACTGGGAGGTAGGTCTTCTAAAGAACACCCTCCTTTCCACCCCCAAGAGGGCAGGGACAGGTGAGTCCTCTCAATCCCCAGGTACAGAGCCCAGCATGGATAGTTAATGATCAGATAAATGTTCCCCTCCCCCATAACACAGACTGTTCCAAGAAGACTTCATCTACTCACAAGAGCTCCGCCAACTCCCCGACTTCCCCCACCAAGGCCAGCAGGAGGTTCCGAGGCTGGTGGAACTGGCCCCAGTCTCGTTCAGCAGCAAACTCTGCATGGAGGCGGCGGCTGGAATAGAAGAAAAGGGTGGAAGTCCTGGTTCCGGGGTTAGAGAACCCAAAAGAAGACACAGAGCCCAGACGGGCATCTCAGTGATATGCAATGGGGGCATAAGTATCAGGGGTTGGGCAACGAATTCCTTGGATGGCCTTAAGCAAATCATTTCTTCTCTTTGGGACTTGGACTCCTTGTCTATAAAGTGGGTGCGCCCTACACAGACCCTCAACTCTATGGAAAACTAACAAAACTAAACAATAACTGACAAAAAACTAAACAATACCCTCTTTTCCATTATTCCAGCTCTTGCTGCTGCTTCTGCAGTTTCTTCCACCTGAGTAAGAGTCCTCTCTCTGCATATCGAAATCCTACCGATTTTAGAAAAGGGCAGCTCCAGGGACACTTCCCCCTAAGAAGCCCTCCTTGATTTCCTCCAGCAAAAATAATATCACCCACCTCTCAGCACTGCATTTGCCCCGTCCTACCACCCACTGCTGGAGGGCAGGGGCCAGGCAGAAGCAGCATCAGAAGTGGCAGCCCAATTTCCCCAGGGCTGGTTCTGATATTACTCAACAGGCGTCACCATTTCCCCTGCCTTTGGTGGGCATCACTAAGCCCATTTTGCAGATAAGGAGGTGAGATGACTCGCCCGAGATGAGCCAGCCGAGCTGGGACCCCAGCATAGCTGCTAGCCTTCTTCCAGACCACGTGGAGGACCCTCCCCTGTAGGAGGGAGAAAGGGGGCGACCTCCCCAGGCCGGGCAGGGACGGCTTACATGTCCTCGAGCGTGGGCTCCGGGCTGAAGCTGAAGGGGCCGGCAGCAGCAGTGCCGTCTCCCCCCGTGTCCCCACGCGCGTCCCCATTCGCCCGAGACATGCCGCCCACCACGCAGCAGTCGGGATGCACCGAACAACACCGCGCCAAGCTCGGAACCCGCCTCCAAGGACCCTGACCAATCACAGGCGATCACGACTGCTTCT